CATTTCATGGGAAATAAATTCTTCATGATTTTTGGTACTCAAAGTATTTTTAAATTCATTGTTGAAGCTCATTGGTTTCCTGAAAAGAAAAAAAAAGCCCTTGACTCAAGTAAAATGCTTAAATAACACATTTAGTTCATGAGGATAAAGTGCTGCTTCAGCTATGCATTACAGTATTATGAAGGACTCACTGGTTTTTAACCTTGGAAATCATCTGTGCTCACTAGAATAGCCAAAGCTAGCACAAGGCCAGGGCCATGTTTAATCACTTCTCTGGTTCTGTCAGCCATAAGACAGAGCTTTGTAACTGAATCTCTCTTCAAAAAGTAAACCACTTTCCCCACTCTTAAAAGTATTGATTTCTTTATTTTAAAAGCTGCTTAAAATAAAGCAGTCTCCTGCTGATAAGAGCATTTTGAGGTAGTCTGGCTCTAGTTTCTCTAACTAAACCCTTGCTTTTCCAATTAACTCTGTGTATGCAGCAAAGAACCTGCAGTTGCGTTTCTTTCCTTTTAGAGTCTGTATACTTAGGATACTATAACTGTTGAACCTCTTGAATGGAAGAAAATAATACCTTCGACGTACTTGAAACAGACTAAATGCCAAGCAATTACATGCAAATGTGGAACAAGCTCTTTGGAGTTCTTAGCATGGAAAACACCTCTGCAACCTGGAGCTGTTGTCCCAAATAATGCAAGTTCTTATCCCAAGTAACATAAAATATAATTCCTCTATTTTAAACGAGTGTTTATCTCATCCCATCCTAAATGCAGTTCTACTTCTTCCTCTCCCTATTACTCACTCTCTTCCCACTGAAAGAATGTCATCCAGACTGATTTGAATAGCAGACGCCTTCTTGTAATTACCGCTCTGTGTTTCCTCCTGGCCCATTTGTACTTCCCTGTGAACACACGAACACTTCTGTTCTCCCCTTTTCAGGATAACTTCAAATGTTTATGGTTATAGTGAAAAGCTTTTCAAGTTCACTATTTGAAAAAAAAAATTCTGCAAAACAGAGCCCTATTGCATCACAGCTCAGCACAGGAGCCGCCAAGCAAGTTAGTACCATTGCACTTTTATCTAAGAAAGTTTAGAGGTACTGCTTCTACTGCTCTAGAGCATTGTGCTGCAGTACTGCCTCACCTTTTCCTTCTGACTGGGCTTTTTTTTTATTTCCTTGAGAATTGTCAAAATATTTCTGGTCAGATTTTTCCCCCTTGATTCTCACATTGCTAATTGAGTCTTTTTAATTCATTTGGAGCAAAAGCATGTATACCTATTGCTATTGCAACTCCATCTCCTATATCTCTTTTAAGCATTTTTCACAATTTCACGATTATTATTTCACAATAGTATGAAAAATAAGAAACTATTATTCTTTGAACTGGAAGCCGATAAAACAACAGATTGAAAACTGAAACAACACTGAGCAGAATATGTCCTGTAAACAACCAGCACACAGTCAGGGTTACATATTTTCTTCCTGTGTTGAGTGACATACTAATCTTCAATTCATTCTGTGGCCAGGGAGCAAAACTGGTCTCGCTGAGAAAAACTGTGAAAAATCTCTCTGTGATCACTTTCTGTGTGATCCCTTTACTGAAAGTTCCGGGCCCACCAGAATGATTTCTGATGTTTGCTGCAGGTCTGGTTCATGGCTCTAGTTTTGGGTTCACCAGTTAAATGTCATTTGACAGAGGTCTTTCTTTGAGCAGCTTCCAGTATTGGTTTCCACCTTTAAGGATGAGGTGGAAAGAATCTCCAAAGCAAACAGTGGAGGAACATATTAAATATTTGATTTATTGTGTACTTGAAGTTTCATTCTCTGGTACCACAGTGTTAAAAGTTGTAACAAAAAGCCATTCTCTGCACATACTGAGAGCTGTCTGGGAGGAGAGTGAGTTAAACCACAGACTTGTCTCTCTATGGTTCTAAATGCTAGCATCTATTAGTGGTAAAATGTATATTGATTAGGTACCATCAGATCCTGCAGGCAGTTTGTCTTGCCCCTGTGCAGATGCTCTGCACTTTTAAGAACCAGTGGAAAGTGCTGTGTAAGGATGTGTGGAAATGAGAACTCTTCTTAACATCATATTTAGTGCACTGGACTCAGCTTGAAGCTCCCACTGTCTGCCCAGAAATGAGTCTGAATAAATAAGACTGGGATCATTCATTACAAGGATATATATGTAATTTTTTTCCCTTGAAAGAGATGCTTTTAAGACTAAATAGTGGAGATCGAGCAAGATGAAGTGGAAATTCCAGATGTATCCAAAACTTGATCACGGTAAGCATATTCACTGACTGTATGTACAATGATATTTAGTAAGAATTGCCTCTGAAATTAAAAGATGAAAGGAGAACAAGTTGATGGTGTAAATCTAGGTTAATGGATAATTGTTTTGCAATTTTTAATGCTAAAAACAAGTCAGGATTTTTTTAATTTGGATTATTTTGTTTCTCTTGTTTGAACAGTACTTTGACATCACAGAATTGTAATTTATGGACTATCAACTTGCCATCCAGCTCTTCAGGCTACCCTTCTCTCATGAGGGTTTTTCATCTTTTAAATTATGTTTATAACCTTGTCAGTAATCTGAAAGTAGTTGTTAAATACCCTGTTTATGTGTTGAAAAGAGAGATGTTTTCATTATAGTGCAAGTCCCTTGGAGGCATTTTTGAAAATCTGTGCTTGCATCTGTAAATTTCCCTTACATGAGGAGTCTATTTCATTGTCCTCTGTGTAGGATAATGAGTAAAAAAAATCCCCCCCAAATGCAATACAAACAAAAAATGCTGTCTTCTATACTCACAAACAAAGCTCCCATGCTGAGTAAACAGTTGTTTATCAAGTTGTGTGATGTTTTAATTTATAACTGCTCATATTTTTTATGCTGTAAATTATATCAGTGAGAACACAGGTACTTCATATTTTCTTACCTTCATAATGCATACCATCTGTACAATAATTCTGAGATTTTTCTAAAAGCATATCTTGATTTATGTAGGCTAATCTTTAAAATTCTGTTGCTAAATTATTGGATTAGATCTTTCAAGAACTGGCATGGTGAAATGTATATGTCCAGTTTAACTGTTTGTCTTCCTCATTTATTCTCTGTCAACTTATCTATAGTCTGTTGTCTTTAGTTTTGCTGCCCTATAACCCCACATGTAATCGTATCGAAAATCATCTGTCCTTAGCCAGTTAACTCTGTGCAAAACATGTTCTTCCCTCTGTTCCCTGGACTGCATAAGGTGGTAGAGTGAGCAAGAAAAAAATGTTCTGTTTTCCCTCAATGTCTTTTTCAAGTTTCTTATTTTCCTCTCTGTTTTTGAGATTTAAATGGTGCAGAAACACGACATCTAGCTAAATGTACAGTTTCAGAAGTTGGGCAGTAACTCAAAAATACATGTGTTCTAAAATGCTGGAAATAGACGAAGGGAAAGAATAAGTGATTCAAAGGACTGAATTAATCAAGCCTTTTTGGATGATCACATAAGAGTAACGTGGTAATGGGGAAAAGACAGGCTTTTCAAGGAATATAGAGTTCAAGGCTATGTAAAGAACCTGATGTTTTTGATTAAGCTTTTTATCCATTTATTTTACCTTTATTTAAAGTCACTATATATCTCTGGATTTTTGCCATGGTTTTTGTGCTGGGAAGGTGTAATGAGCTTCCTTTGACCGTGGCTGAGGCACCCTCTGTAAAACAAAGCTTTCTACTTTATAACCAGCATTTGTCTGTTCCAAGAAGCTGCTCTCAATAGAACATTACCACTCTTACCTGAGTTTATTTTTAGGCAAGTAGAAACTTAGTCACATATGATAGCAGTTATCCTCAAAAAAAACCATCATTGTCTTCTTCCCCCTGCATATCTCTTCAAAGTTCATTATTGGTGAAGATTAAAAAAAAAAAAAAAAAAACAACAAAAAAAAAACCATTAGTCCAAAAATGAAATATGTGTCAGTGTTTTACACAGGCAGTAGCATGAATAAAGTCTAATGATCATCACCTTTGTAAGAAGTTATTACTGTGGTATGACTGTATTTTTATCCTGTGACTTGATTATTTTTCTGGTTTTGTACTACAATATTTGCATCTCTCCGGGTAATTTTCTAGGTTGCTTGTGAAATTGCTGTGAATGATATCTATAGAATTTACAATATTCTAAAAGTTTAATAACAAGATGTGCATGCTGATGTATACTAGGAGTCACAAGAATAACTACTTGAATTTTGGTTGTCTAAATTCTTAAGCATAAGTTATTAGCTTAGCTTAAAGCATAAGTTTGCCCTAGTTTTCAACAGAAAGTCTCTATATGTCCTACTTTTAATAACAGTTTCAACCTCAAAGCTATTGAGCAATAAGGATGTAACTGATTTGAACACAGAGGACTGAGAATACCTTTAGCTGTTGGTTTGGGTTTGTTTTCATTTTACTCCTAAAGAAAACCCACCTTTTCACTTGCTTTTCTAAAAATATTAAAATGGAAATGATAAAAATACAGCTGCGAAGAGGGCGTATATCTGTTTAAGTTATGCAGAAATAATCCTGTTCATTTTCCTTGGTTGTGCGTTTGGCATGAAAAGATTAGGTACAGTGTGCACTGAAATATTTCCCTCCAAGCAATAAAAGTGGCCAAATGTGATGAAGTGCAGTCATAAGGGATAGAATGTGTTATCTCTCTAAGAAAAGTGGCGAAGAGTTCCTTATTCTCAAGAGTGCTGAACTGTATTCTAACATGTTGTCATGTTGCTGAAAACTCAAAGCTTAATTTTCTGTTGTTAATGAAATAATTATTTTAACATAGATTTATCTGAAGTTTTTATTAGACTGAAGAGCATAAAACCAAGTCCACCTTGATATAGGGGATATTGAGTTATTTGTGCTGGAAACAAAAGCTTTGATATTTTGACCTTCTCTTTCTAGATGAACTTTTCAACTTTTTTTTTTTTTTTTTTTTTTTTTTTTTTTTTTTTTTTTTTTTTTTTATCACAGCAAGACCAGCTTTATACTTGGGCTGCAGTCAGCCAACCCACACATTCAACAGATTACATTGAAGGAAACTTTCCAAGGAGAATTCCATCTGCGTGGCCCCCACCCAAACCTCCAGATGAAGAACAGAGACCCAAAATTTCAGAAGAAGGTACAGTTCTTGGACACAGACAAAATAAATGTATAGCATAGGGGAAGGTGCTGTGTTTTAGAATCTATGATATAAACTTAGTATCTTACCTGCTAACAAACACCTGGTTTTGAGAATCTTGGATTAGCATCAGAAATAATATTAGCTAGTATGAATCTAATAAAAAATATTCACAAAAAATGCATTCTTTTTGTTAGCAACCAAGATGTGTACCTGGCATCTGTTGAGGAATGGATTTTGCCAGGTGCTATGGTCTTTATTCTTTTCCAGTTTACATACCTTCAGAGCCAGGAGATATGTATTCTTTTCTCAAAAACAGGGAAAACTTCAGAAGCCCACAGGTGGTACACTGAAAGTTATTAGAGTGGTATAAGGTATTCCTTTGGAGATTCAGCAGCCTCTGTGCTGACAGAGGGGTATCTGAAAAACTAAATGGAGGTCTTGTTTACAAAGCAAATTTATCTTAAAATTTGTGAGGTTATGCTACCAGCCAAATTTCTGCAATCTTCTTCATGCTCTTTAACAGCTTTGCTTAAACTGAAAATTAAAACAAAATCAAGCAAGAAAGAAACCTCCCTTGTAGAGGACAAAGAAATTCAGAAAAAAATTTCAAACCTGTTTTCTGTTAGTTGTGTTGATGCACAAATGACACAGGTTCTTGGAGGTTTTGCTTTGTATTAGTTTGTATTCAGCAGCTCTCAACACATTTAGACTGCATTCATCCCCGTGCACTCCATGGAGAGCCAGAGTATTCTCAAATTTTCCATTCCTTTCCGGCCCTTTCCTTCATTGCTCAGTTTTGAAGAATTAAGTCATTATTTCAGATTTCTTTGCATTGCTTGTAGGCTTTGGGTGCAGTTAATTTCAGATTTGCTTCTGTTTGGGACTTCTCTGCCACTACCTCTGGAACATGAGCAAAGTATTTCTTGCATGGATACCTTTCACCATGAAAACAATTTATTTTTACTGGTGTCACTTATTTCAGTGTTCACAAACAAAATAAGTGATGCCAACAAAAATCCAGTATTGCTATGTTGTTGTGTTTATGCTGTGCCTTTACAAAAAGAGTTATATTGGAGATGGAGGAAACATTTCTGCATCCATCTCACAGATGCAATTCAGAGGATGGAATGCTGCAGTACATGATTGTTGAGCTAGTCCAACAAACAAATGATCTACTAATGATCTAATAATCTAACTAATGATCTACTGTTTCATGCTGTATTCCTTGAAAGTGCTGCCATTTGTGATGGTGGAATTCACTGTCATTTACTCAGAGGGTTGTGTTTCTCAGCTTGGAGACTTAGCTGGATCTAAGGGATATGTGATAACAGTTACTTATGAGCATACTCTGCACTGGAAAAACAAAATTGCCTATTAATTTGTTTTGAGGCTTTAGCCCAGCAGAGGCTGGTGCAAGTAAACAACAGTTTTCTGCTCTAAAGTCTAGAGGAATACTGATAACATAAAATATTTTGAAATGTAAAGATACATTTAGAATTGTATTTCTATCAAAATGACACTGTTAATAATTTAGAAATGTATCCATTTTATGCATTTGGTTTGTTTCCATCTTATATTGTTCTATTTATTATACCTACTTCATGGATGAAATGTGTATAGGACTTGTCTGTTCCTTGTCTCAGCCATTGCATCCTCAAAGGGAAGCAAAAATATTAAGAAATAGAAATAATGTGGAAAATTGTGTATTGTGACTTTTTAAAGTTTATTTTAAGTAGTTCTTAAAATTTATTTATTGAAATGTTGATGTGATTTTTCAGTGCAGGGCATGGAGGAAAAAGGAAAAGTTGTAATACTCTTTAAATCCAACTCAGGCAGGTGAATAGTTTAACTTTCTTTAATTGTTCACATGCTTGCCATTTTGAAGAACCTGGAGGTGAGTGATGTGAAACCTGAGCATAAAAACCTTGCTCAAAATTTGAAGCTAAATTATATATTTACACCTTTTCAATCTGTCAGGGACAAACATTTTTTTAAAAGGTTTTAATTATTGTGTGCCAGGTAACTGTATTTTGTATTATATGTAATTGCTGCTGTCTGGATTAAAGAGGTACATTAGCATTAGTTAACAATAGTTTATAAACAAAAACATGGATTTTAGACAAAAGTATTGATTGAGAGAGGAATGCAGCAGAATATTTGTATTTTATTTGGTTTTGTTATATACATTAATGTTAGAAAAATAGTAAGATGAAATTCTGCAAGGTTTTAGGTAATCCTTCCTAAATTACAAAAATAGTTAATCACCAGTTTAGTATGTATTTAATATATTTGCTGTATGCTCTGTACGGTATAAAGCACTGCTGGATGTGAGAAAAGGGCTATTACAGTAGTCAGGAGTTTTGGGGTGGAGTGGGTTTGGTCAACTTGGTTCCTGTTTTTTTGAGGGGTTTTTAGGTTGTGCATTTATTTTAAAATGGACATTTGGAAATACCTAATATGAATTTGGGTTCAAGTCAGTAAATATTTATCCTAAAAACATTTTTTGGTTCTGGATTAATTTAAGGTTTTGGACCAAATGAGCCAACATCACCAGTAAGATCAATATACATGGGATTAATTTTCTATCTGAATACCCAAAATCTTTTCCTGTCACTTCTTAAAGCATTCCAGTCTACCATTCTCCATCTCAGTGCATTGCCTGAATCTAAACTCAACAGGGTATTTGAAATTCAATTATTTTATTGCTTTGCTTTAACACACAGGAAAAGGCAAATAAGCATGCACTAGAGCCCACTCATCCTGTGTCCCATGTTGACTGTTTAGCCACTTGTGAGGACACTCAAAGATTATGCATCTTCCACAAAACAAAACTGTCCTAGCCCACTAATCTCACCGTTGGTTTACAACCTGAAATCTAAGTATCTCACTAAAAAAGAAAAA